TTTTTTTTTTTTTTTTTTCTTTTGGTACCAGGGATTGAAATCTGGTCCTTGCACTTGCAAGGCAGGCCACTGAACTGCTGAGCTAAATCTCCAGCCCTGATCTCTATATTCTGACCAATATACTATTAATGAGAAAGCAAAATGGTGCAGCCACGTGGAAAACAGCGTGCTAATTCCTCAAAAAGTTAAAAAATGGAATTATCAATATGATCCAGCAATTTCATTCCTGAATATATACTCAAAAAACTAAAAGCATGGACTTGAATTTGTACATTATTCATGATTGAAGTGGCATTATTCACAATAGTCAGAAGCTGTAAGCCAAACAAATGCCTATTGATAGATAAATGGATAAGCAAAATCTGTGAATGCATTCAATGGGATCTTAACCAGCCTTCATGGGAAAGAGATTCTGACAGGTTGCAGCATGGATAACCCTTGAGACATTATGCTAAGTGAAATAATCCAGGCACAAAAAGACAAACATTGTATGACTTCACTTACAGGAGGTCCCCAGAGTAGTAAAACTCATAGATGGAAAATAGAATGTGGTCATCAAGAGCTGAGGAGAGGGGAGAATTGGGAGTTTTATTTAATGAATAAAGGGCTTCAGTTCGGAAAGATGAAAAAATTCTGGAAGTTGATAATAGAGAATGCATAGCAGTGTGAATACAGGAAAAGCCATCAAACTGTATACTTAAAAATGGTTTAAATGGTAAACTTATTTTACGTATATTTTTATCACAGCTTTTAAAAGTTAAGTGCAAAAGTGTTTGAGGGGTTATGACACTTGTAAGAAATTGGCAGAGCTATGAAAATATTTGAAAATAACACATTTAAACCTAAAAAAAAATGAAATTTGGCAGGATTTCTCTTTTTGAGCAAAAGTCACAAAATCAAATAACACTTTTATTATTATTGTATATCAAACATTCTATGGCTGACTGACACAAGATTTAGATATACATGCATTTAGATAATAATCCATGCTAACTTTGAAATTCAAGATTTGCATTCCTATTCTGTCTGAAAGCAAGGTGACAGGGTCTGAAAAAGTTTTGTAACCATAGGCTAGCAAATAAAAATCAGTTATTCAGCAGGAAGGGTCTGTTTTTCTTCCCCTCTCTGTCTCACAAAGTGTTAAAAAATCCTAGACCAAGAGCAGTTGTCCAATAACAAAAGAAAAATGTAATTTGTAGCAGGTGGTTCTAATTGTGCCCATCAAACCTGTCACTCGATTGTGCAGAAGAGTGGAAAATCAATTAGCAACTACAAGCCTGGGTGCCGGAGAGTGACAGGAGTGTCTTAGCTCAAACAGGAAACCAGAAATGGAAGAAAATGATTCCTGAGGCTGCTCCGGGATGCTCCTGAGTCCACTGCCCAGCCTTCTAAGACAAAAGATGCAGGAGAACATGACAAGATATTTTTTTACTCAAAGAGCATTTTTTTTCCTGATGAGGTCTGATTGAATGAAAATCAAGAGCCTGGATTCTTGCTTTCCTAGATTTGAGAGGCTGGTGGAGGCATGGCTTTAGAGAAAAATCATGTTTCTGGGATGTTGTAGTTGATGCTAACTGACTTGGAGAGATGCCACTGAGTTGGAGTCAGGCCAGCTTGGTTAGTGATTGGGTAGATGCCAGAATAAGCCAAGCTGGACAGACCTAAGTGGCTGAAACTGGGATAACAAACAAATTTGCCTATGTCACTGCGTTGCTTCAGACCTGGAACACTCACTGTGTGTTGGCTAGTGACTGTAGTTAATTAAAGAAAAAATGTAGTGTTCTCAACATATTGTTTTACCCAGTCTTATGGAAATGACCCCCCCCCTGCAAGATGCTTTCTATCATCTGTATGAGGTCCCATGGTGCTGGTAGAATATGAAGCATTTGAACTCTAACAGCTTTCTAGCTTGGCTTAGGTCACATTGGCACTCTGAGAAATCTATAATGTTACTTTGAGTTTTTTCATTTTTTGTCTTATGCTACCTTATTCACTTGCTTTATATGTTTATGTACTATTTCTTTAGCTTCTGTGCTGCAAATATCACTGGACAACTACACCATGTCTTTTATTTCTGTTGTACATACAAGACATGAGAGTATTTAGGCTGGTGCCACTCACAAACCAGGTATTCAATATACAATTTTCTAAAAAACTCTTGACTATTACATTTTTGCATGGTCAGACGATGTATGAGAAGTAATTAACACTTTGTCAAGTATGAGATAGATATTCAATGAATACTTTAAAAAATAAGACAAAAATAGATGAAATAATTACACTTATTTTCTTCAGTGTAAATGTAATTAAATTATAATTAGCAAAGGGCCTCACTTCATTGATTAGACTCCTGCAATATCTAATGTTGATTCATTGACTGGGGGTGTTTAATCCATTGTATTTATGGGAACTTTAGTGTAGCCTCATAAGTTGAGGGGACATAGACTCCCTTCTGACTAGTAGTTATACCTGGGAGGTAGAAAAGCAGAACTGAAAGCAATGCTGAGATACTTCGATGTTACACCCTAATGGACACCATTTAGTCTGCCAAAAGCTGCCACCCCATTCCTCTGTGAGGTGATGCATCCCTCCACGTATAAGGATGCACATTCCTTAGCATTATTTGGAGGAAAGACTGGGAAAGGAGGCAGGAAAGTAAGGACGAGAGGAGAAGGGAAATGCTGATGACTTTGAATGTTGACTTCCAATGCGGGAAAAACACAGAGAGTGTACAGAAATCTTTCCACAAATCAGATGTATACATGAAGACTCTCTCATTAAAACCATAGCACCAGGTGTCCCATTTCCTGGGATTCAGATTGGTCTTGAACTCATGCTCATGCGATCCTTCTGACTCATTCTCCCAAATTGCTAGGGCTGAATTTTCAATGCATATTTTTAAAGGCAATGACCTAGGCACAAAAGCTGTAGGTGTAGTTGCCCTACTGAAGAGTTCTGACCTGCTCCTGTCTTAGGCATGGAGGAGGCTCCCCACCACCGTCACTGTCCTTGGCACTAATAGTAACATGAGGTCATCTTTGTTGTGCCTACATCTTCTGTGACACATCTGTGGCACAGATTGTATCGAGTGTAAAAAAGGGTACAGTCTGTCTCAATCTAAATCTAACCCAAAGAGAATTAAGAAGTAATGGTGAGTCATTTTAATATCTTCCACATTTTAGTTACACTTCTTTTTCTGGTGCAAAAAGTATCTCATAGAACTCACACACATTGCATTTTTTAAAATACTTGCTAAATAACATATTTATTTTCCATTACCAGTAATTAGAACATAAAAACCTAAATATAACTGAATATATTAGCAACGCTAGGTAATTAATAAATTTTAAGGAAAGTTTCACCAAATTTTTACTATTTGTCATGCAAAAATTAGTTTAGGAATGACATCAGAAGATTGAAATTCATCTCAATACTTTAAAGAATTCATTAGTCTATAATATAACATATTCTAGATTTGGATAAAGTTCTTATTATTGCTAGATTTTATCACTCCAAAAGCCCTCATGCAAAGCACAGTCAGGCTTCTCTTGGGACATTTTTGTTTACCTGTTCGTGATGGTTGTAAGTGCAGGGGGACAGTAGTAGCCACTGGAAGCATGGTCAAAGCTTCGAAGGACCGGGTCAACTTTGTAACAGAATCCACCATGTCTCTCCCATCCCTTGCAAAAGAAAAAGGGAAATTAAGGACATAATCTTATTCAGTGAAATAACAAGAGATCTTTTCTGAACTTTCTTATTTACCACTTATTTAACTCTCTTCTCTCATTCACTCAAAACACCTCGTGTTTTTGTTTTAATGTTTTTGTATTTAGTCTATCTGGGGATAACATTCTAACTGGCTGAGGCCTCATCTGTGTTTATTTAATTAAGTACATTAAAATCCTAAAAATTTTAATTTACTTAAAACTCAAAAAATGTAAAAAATTAGGGTTGGGGATGTAGCTCAGTGGCACTGCGCCTGCCTGGCAAGTGCAAGGTCCTGAGATTGATCCCCAGTACTAGGAAAAAAAATGTAAAAAATTAAACACAAGTGAAGGTAAAAGGGGAAAATACCACAAATAAAACAAAAACCACACCAAGCAAAAACCAAAAAGAAATAAAAGGAGACTCAATCAGGAGATCTCTCTCTCTCTCTCTCTCTCTCCAGAATCTTATAAAAATGATTTCTGTATTAGGGTATAAATTAAGAGTATTGGCTATAGATTCATAATGCGTGAGTTTGAATCTAGGCTCCACTACTGTTTGAATTTATTCATATTGAATATATTTTAAGAAATTGATTTAATATCTCCCTGTCTAGTTTTCTCATCTGCAAAAAGAAATAACAGCAATATTTTGAGGCTATTGTAAGAATCAAAAGGAGACAATGTAGGAAGAAATCTTAGAGTCAGGCCTGGGAATTGGTACAACAAGAAGATAGATGTATCTAGATATTACTATAGATTTTTTTCAACTTTACTTCATATTGATTGTTTAACGTTACCTCACTGAGATTCATTGAGACTGGGGACTTAAACAGAGCTACCAATCAGTAGATCTAGTGGGTCTGGAACCCAATTCTGGTGCAATTCAGGATAACTTTGGTTGGATTGTAATCTAACATGGCCAAAAATCCATTCACACATATATAGTAATTTTCCCTAAATTAACTGGCTGGCCTTTTAGGGAGGAAGGAAGCAAGTTTTGGCACTCTGACAAAATGAAAAATACATAGCTCTGAGGCTTACCCCTGAGAACAGGTGGAGGTTACTGTATTCTTTAAAATCATACAGTATAGGGTACATGCTTTCACTATATTCCAACTGAGTGATTGTAGTTCTTTGCTCATCCAATATATAAAGTTATGTTATGTATATCTATTATTACCTATTGACCAGTTTTTGTATATTCTTCATTTTTGTACCAACCCACTAATTTCCAGCTTGTGATCAGGCATAAAATTCATTTGACAATATTCTTGAGAAAGACATTAGTCCTGTGAAAAAAGACCATGCACCAACTACCCACAAGAAATGTAAATATTATGCACTGCAAACATGGACTAATAAAAAAGACCTTAACTTAGATATAGACTATTTCAACTCAAAATATCTCACGAAATGAGGTTCAACCTATGCCAAGAACTAACTCCTCTTCACCTCCATACCTATCTGTAGACCCACACTGCCGGACAGACCTCCACAAGCATCACTCGAGATGGCAGCAGGTGGTTAGACAGCTTTCGTGCTTAGAAGGACGAGTGGAGGGAGACTGACAGTTTGACCCTTCTGACGAAATATTTATTCACTAGTAATTTTTGTGTCCTGAGTTATTTGCCAAAACAAGACAAAATAAAACAAAACCCGAGGACTGAACATCCTCAAGAAAAGGGAGGGCAAGAAATATGTGGCGTAGTAGTAACTGGAAAAATAAAGACTGCATTACAAACCCTTTTCCACCTAACGAAAGGGTAGGATAATAACTGATTGTGTTTGCTAACCCCTTGCATGCTAGGTGCTACTTCATTTTCAGGTGAAAGGATGATAGTAATAATATTGAAGTAATGGCTCATATTGTCCAATCTCTCCAAAATGACTTTTTGGACTTTTAAATAATAGACTTATTTTATAATTAATTTTGCAAGGAGAGACTGTTTGGAAAGTTGCATTAAAGAAAATGGCTGAAAATAAAGGAAACTTGGCAATATTAGAAGTTAAAGCAAAGAAAATTAAAGGAAAATTTTCCATTAAAACTAGAGAACTGGTTCTGAACTCAGAATCTTTAAATAGTGATAATGCTGGCCAGAAAAGGGAAGCAGTGAACAAAAGCTCAAAGATAGCATCAGTTTTCTTTCTGCTGTGTAAGAAGTTAATTGCTCTTTCAACAAAACTAAATCACGTAAAGTTGCCTTGAAGCCACAGTAAGGGAGAGATAAGGTCAGTGATCAGTTGTAATTCAGGAACTGTAATTCTTAGAATGCTAGGCACATATATTGTCCAGCAGGGATATGAAAGGCAGTTTGTATGTTTCCACACTGATTAATGAATGAAACATAGTTTCTGCAGCAATGGATCATTGTTTAGTTGGAACATAAATAGTTGGATTACAAGAGATAATAATTAAAGAAGAGTTGCTTAAAAATTGGGTCTAGGGCATTTTTTAGAGTAATACAGTATAAAAATTAAGAGGGGCAGGAAAGTGAACATGTGCTAAAAATGAAGAAAGGTAGATTTTATACAACTTTATTACAGCATATTAAATGTATTTAAGAAATTTTAAAACAGAATTTCCACCTTTTAGGTTTCGATCTAAGTATTTTAGTACATCTAAAATGCTTTGTTATTTATACTAAATGTAAAGCATTTCTGTTGTGGCAAAGAGGAACAGCTCAGTGCTATAGCCAAGTGCCACAGCTCAGGGTCACAGATACTGCAATCTGAAGACTCAAAACTCTTAAGGTCACTCGAAGAGGTGGAGAAAAATCGTTTATTACACCAGCTCAGACGAGTTTGTACTCCAGAGTCTGAGCGCTACACCTGAAATGGAAGCCTCCTTATATAGGGGTCTACAGAGTAGCCGAGCATGCTTACAGAAGCAGAGGGGTGGAGTTAATAGAACATTCCTAAAAGGGGCGGGGCTAACAGAACCTTCCTGAGAGGTCAGCAGTTCACACAGTTACAAAACATTTTGATACATTGTGCAGGGTCCCTGCCTGGCTGCACAAACTGTTCCATTGCTGGAACAAAACATTTTGGGGAAAAAACATGGGGGCAAGGCAAGGGCAAGGCAAGGACTGTCTTATTGTGTCGTATTGCTCTATCATTTGCGCTATTTCTTTCCTAAATAAAAACACACTTCAAACATGTGATTATGTCCAGTATTGTATGTAAGTTTAAGCAGGGTAAAGAGGAAGGCAAGATACTTGGGGCAGAAGTTCACTCTGACTTCAAGGAATGTGGTCACTTTCTCTCTGACATTCCTCTTGAGAATTAGGAAAACCACATGTGAGCAGAGGCATCACAGGATATACATTATATATACAGACAGTATAACAGGATCATTTACATTTTTTAATTTAAAAAAAGTAGCCTTGGCTCACAGAGCACAGCAAGACAAGGCTCACAGTCCTTCTCAGCTCAGACAAGGCTGTAAATCCTTCAGGTGCCTCTGGATGATAATTGTTTGGTTTCTAAAATGCAGCTCACTCTCAGAAAAAAGGAGGCAGCAAGGAAAGGGGAAGAAAAAGAAGGGAAAAAGAAGGAGGGAAGAGAATGCAAAGACTCGGGAGGGAAATTTGCTGTCCATTGATGCTGAGTATATTATTCTAGTTCTGTACTCTCTGTACCTAAATTGTGGTGTTGCAACACTTACCTCTTGACATCCTGATTCTGTGTCAGAAGGGATGTAGCCTGCTTTTTTACATGTGTAAAAAAGTGTTTCTTCACAATTTTTAACTTTCCAGTGTCCCTCCTAAGGGGGAAAAGTGTTACAAGATGAATGAATATGCTTCATGCTCATGTTGATGGGCAATACCAATACTTATGAGTCAAATGTGATGAATACCAAATCCCTAGTGAGGTGATGTTTCAGGATCCTGCCTGGTTGCGGAAAGGGCTGGCACTGTCTCCACAGATGGGGGTGGGGTGGGCTGCTAGCTCAGCAGCACGTGACAGCTCCAATGTCTACAGTCCCAAACTGAGTGGACAGGATGGAGGAAACAAACCCTTTCCTCTTGTTTGATGCTATATGCTCTATGTTCAAACCCCAATGTCCTTCTTCATCCCTAAGGTTTGAGAGCACCACTCCCCTTCTCTTTAGATTACAGGCAGATACCTTCACGTCTTCTCCTAGGTCTACTGAAGACTACGCTCAGATTCTACGCTAATGATGGTGCAAGGATTGCTAAAAAATTAAAATATTATTTTCCCAAATACTTTAAAAAATCTTTTAACACAGATCAGGAACTTGGATTAACACCACACAATTCAAGATTCAGGTAGCGTTTCAAGTATCCAGGATTTTATGGGAATTAGAGCCCTTCCATAACCTTTAGAAACACATCAGGTCAGGGGCTGAGACCTTCACCTGTAAGAGCAGCATTGTTTCTCTCCTCCACGGGGTTGTCTAGCAAACCATCTAGTTATAGGACAGGGTCAAGCATACCACAGTTGCTTAATAACTGTTGGATCCATGGATAAATAAAGTTTCCTAGGCTCCCACATTCAAAATTAGGTGTTAACCATGTTAGGTAACTTGTTAATTGTAATCATTATATTTATTTATTTAGTTTTGGTACCAGGGATCGAACTTGGGTCCTTGAGCTTGCGAGGCAGGCAGCGGAACCACTAAGCTAAATCCCTGGCCCTATAATAATTATATTTATATTGAGTTGATGGAAACTGAGTTGATTGAAACTTGATGGAAGTAAATGTCAACTTTTATGCATCTACTATTTAAGGAAGCTACTAAGCTGCCAAAAGGAAGCTACAAGATACAACACTTAGGGCAGCATTGTTCTGACTCACACAATAACATTAATATCTATCTTTATTCTCTTAAAACTAATCCCCATCCTAATGTTGGCTCCTCTTAAGTAAATACACTAAGTGAGACATGTCAGTCAATAGGAGAGGAAGGTCATTTTAATGTACGTAAAAACCAATACATCAATAAAACCTAAGCTAAAGTAGAATGAAGTGTGTTGGATTTCAGAAGCACTAGACCCATGACAAACATTTAGAGAGATTATTTTCCTTCTTCAAATGTAACTCAGAGACAGTGCTGGCAAGTGTAGTTGGAACTGCATATGTTCATGTGAAATTGAAAAGATACAGCAATGAAATGTGTCACAAAAAAGTAAGTGCCTTGGTGCTTTCCATGTGTGGCTCGTTGTCAAGCTCCTTCAGCAGCATGTAATGAACTGCTCCTTGAGGGAACTAGATATAATATCCAATGGTTAGAGAGACTAAGGGAACCTATAAAATCTCAGTAACATCCTAAAACTCACCAGTCTTTCAGCAGTTAAAGAGAATAAGTCCATTTTAAACACATACTAAACTATTAAGTGGCTTGGGATTAAACTAATTTGGTAACATAAGATTTTTAGGTACATGAGAGATGAAAATTTTGGGCAAGTGTGCCATTAAGGCCAGTAGGCTCATCCCATTCATGTGAGAAAAAGATGTGAGGATTGCCATTGGTTTACACTTTTCAAGAAGCTTGTTCAAAACCATTTATGTTAATAAAATAATGGACCTTTAAAACCATCACTCTCCAGAGTAACCTTCTCACCCTGTTTTTCCTCTCATCGTCAGCATGTTTGTCAATACCACCAGCATCTACCAAAACGGCGGTTGCTCAACCCCCAGACCCTTGTCTCCTTCTCTACTTTACGAGTAAGTCCTATCACCCAAAGCTTCTCTTCACTTCTCTTTATAGTCACTACTCTAAGTGGCCTCCAAAATGATTTTTCTACATCTGTTTTAAACCTCTTCAAACAATTCTTATGTAGCAACCACAGTTTCTTTTTAAAATGTAAATCAGATTGTGCTCCAGTATCCTTGAAACTCCTGAAGGGTTCCTGTACCAAGGCTTATAAGCCTGGCATTCTTGCATTCTTCTTGTCCTCTCTCTTGCTGCTTCCTCACTACTAGTCACTCCTTTGGTTGTTAGAGATGGCAAGCCTTGGCCTGCCTTGGCACTGGCTGTCTGCTTCCTGGAATGCTCTTCCTGCTGTTCTGTAAGTGGTTTGTTTGTGTGTTTGTTTGAAATCCTAGCTTACATGTCAGTTTCTTTGACTGTCCTGTCTGAAGGAGCTGCCTTAACGCAAGCTCCTCACTATCATGCCACCGAGAACCTCAGAGCCGTCAGTACAACTACAATTTCCATGAGTTTTCTCTGTGTGCTCGTTTACTGCCTAGCCTGGAAGTCCCTTGAGGAACTTGTACTATGCATGTGTTGGTCTCTGCCACGGCCCATGTCTATAAGCACTGAACAAATAAATCAACTTACAGCGTGCTCTGCTGAGACACACAGCTGGCTTCTACTTGGAAAAATTTGGGGCTCAAATGTGTCCCAGTTAGTAAATATTATTGAAGAGCCATTAGACCATTCAAAGGAAACTGGAATTTTATTGCTGCTCAAACCAATCCATGTTTCTGATGCATGTTCTGAAAGAGATAAATACAATTTACTTGCAAGTTCTTACTATTTGCAAAAGTGATAATGCACTTAGGTTACTACCGAAATATACCATTTTGCATGTGATTTCTTTATTTCTTAATGTGATAAAAACTGCTTAAGTCTATAAAATATCAGTTGAAATCTTTTCCCTCTTATTATATCTAGATATATTTGCTTAAGCAGAGTGTGATCTAAAGCCAATACAAGGACAAAGCTGAAGCAAGTCAGATTCCTGGCACTCTAGTTCTTACTACTGTATGTGAAGTAGACCTCAAAAGTCTGGTTTTGCTTCTGCTCAGAGAAAGGAAAAATAAGATCTGCTGCTCAGTGAAAGAAGCATCCCTTTTTTTTTTAAAGCTAAAGATTTTTCTCTGGCAAGGAAAAAGGAACTGAAGAATTGCAATGGGAATAAAGAGTTGACAGAAAATAGCTAAAAATAAACTTAGTAGCCTGGGTAGGGTGAGAAGACCCTTTGTGGCTGAGAGAGGTGTTCAAGTGTCCTCGCTGACATAGAGGTAGCTGCAGGATTCTTTTAATCCTAAATACAGAGGATTGAGGAAAATGACAGAAAAAGATTTTTTTTGTTTTCACTCCAAACTAAAACTTAACATTGAAAAGGTCATCAGAGTAGAGTCAGGATTGCCTTTCTTTGTTTGTTTGTTTTTTTCTTTTGGTTTTGTTTTCCTTTTTAGACATTGAAAAATAAAGTCAAAGAGTTCAATTTTTTTTCTTTTAGGAGGATTCTATGTCAAATGTGGAACACAGGAAGGAGCAGGCTTGTTCTGACGGAATGAAGGTTGTGGAGGCTCAGGAACCTAGATCTAAGCATGACACATAACCTGAGAACCACTGCACCAGATAAATTATTCTTTGCTACTGGCTAAAGATTTTTAAATCCAATTATGTGCCTAGAAAATTGAGCACAGTACAATACTGCTATCTGAAGAACATAAAGCTAAATTATAGGTTTACGTTTTATATTAGAAATTTCAGTAAATAAACTTTATCCCTAAATTTTTTTTTTTAAGCCAGGTAATACATCTGGCATCTCTGTAAAGTTATAAAGTTTCTGAACAGGTACTGTGTAAAAATTAAATGAGTTTGCATTCCTTCATAGAAATAATCACTAATCAAAGAGTTATGCCATGATATTTTATACCTCTTAAATCAAAGGCAGTTATACTCACCAGCTCCAAGGAGGTTTACAAGAAACTCCACTTCTGCTAATGAAGCGATGTCCATCAGTCTGCTGTTATCATACTGGCAAGAATGCAAAGCCTCATTCCAGGTCTTTTCTTCTTTCTGAAGTTTGTAGCAATTAAGATTGTAGGGATTCCAGCCAGGCTCACAGTGGGTAGCATGATATTTCCATGCATCTTTTTCTTTGTAAATCAATAAAAATGTAATTTTCATAAGTATGTAAGCATTACTTACTACCCTGTATATGCATTACTTTCAATATAATTACTTTTAAATGTGAGAAACAAGAACATAGGAAGTGACATATAATTCATAGAATTTAAGATCCTTTAAATTTAAAAAGGTCAGGTCTCTGATCTAGACCTAGATATAAGGTTTAGTGAATCTTGGGGCTTCATTTTCCAGATGAGAAATCTAAGGCACAAAGCAGTAGAGGACAATACAAAGGTTATATTGCACAATTAATGCAGGAAGTCGGGGATAAATATAAAATTTAATGGAATTGCCCATTTCAAAAATCTTTTTACATTGCAAGAGTGTTATTATGGAACATAATTTAAATTCCAAGGATTTTATATACTGTATGTATAGATTTCCTTATACGTATTTATCTTCAGCACAAAATAGCTTAAAACTTTGACCACTTCTTCTACAGCAGGAATGACAAGGAAGTTCCGCCTTGAGAATCAGTCAGGTTCCTGTGGTGTTGAACTGGGTCAGTAAGGACTCTGGGTTGGACTTCCAGGGGCAAAGTGCCGTGATGCTTGGGATGTTGAAGGGAAAATGGTAGTGTTCAGGATTTAGCTCTCCTTTTTCAGGAACTTATTTTATTAACCTCTACTAGGTGCTTCCCTTCAGAACTAATTTACTTAGCTGCAATTTCACTGCTACTCAGGAAACAATTCTTTTAAAGTTGCTTCTAGGACTCTGACAGCAATTAGAATCAAAGTGAAAGCATACTAGAATATTTAGACACCATCTACCCTAATGGTTTGCAACTTAAAAAAGGAGTCATGTAAACCTTTTTAAACGTGGAATTTTCAATCTCACTCTAAAGGCAAGATAAAAAGATTAAAGAGGAACTTCTCCGATGGAAGCAAGGACAGAGGTAAGAAAGAATCCTGAGGAAGCAGAGTGAAATGGTGGTTGAGGACTCAGGATGCAGCTCAGTGGAAAAGTGCTTGCCAACCACACACCAGGTTTTACGCCTCAGATCTCCCTCCCCCTGCCAAAAAAGAAAGATCCCAGCTGAGTAAGTTCCTCCAGTGATGGGCAGTTACGCCTAGTAGAGCAGCAGTTTACACACCAAACTACTTATGTAAGAGCTAAGGAAATTAGGTGAGAAAGCATTGACTGTACTTGTAGTGTAACAAAATGAAGACATACTGAAAAAAGCAGGAAGGAAAGAGTTGCCTGATTCCCCTCTTTCACGTCCAAGCTGCTTAACAGGGAAAACTTCCACTTGGTGATTAAGTCCAAGCCCACACTTGAAAGCCACTAGCAGGTGTGCCATGGTGAAATTGAGTGCTGGGCAAAGCCTCAGCTCCTGTCAGGCCAATATCCATGAATCGCAATATCAATAACCCCAGGAACTGCATTGCGATGACAATCTTGAGCACCCCACCACCAATCTTGGGTGGCAGAGTGCGGAGCAGGACTCTACTTTGTAGACAGCAGGGCACATAAGCTAGCTTACAGCTTTGTTCACCATGGTGAGACCCTGCACCCACTAGAAGCTAAAGTTCCCATGCATAGGCCAACAGTCACACACAGAACCTGTAGGTCAACCACGGAATCAGGCAGAGGCCTATGTACTGGCTGAACAGGCCCTAGTTTTAGCCTGCATCATTTCCAGCCATGGAGTGGGCCAAGGGCATACCTGTCCTTTTCCAGTGGGGACTGTGCAGTCCCCTGTGGCCAAGACTAGAGATGTGACCCAGGTTAGAATCAGCTGTGCTGGCCTCCATCACCCCCATCCCTCAGGCTCGGGTATTCTCCAGCCAGTTCACAGGTGGGGCTTTAGAACTGCTCCGGCACCAGACAGACCTGTGCCCCGTGGAACAGAGTTATTTTGTCCCATATCACTGCCAGCTGCAGGGTGGGACTTGGTCTCCCATCCCATCCCCAAGACTATGCAGGTCCTTGCAACTGTAAGATTCAGGTGTGACCTAGCTTCAGTGGTCATGTCATGGCCTTCACCAGCAGTATCCCTACTATGAGAAGCATAGTGTGGTGCAAGACCCCATTTGCTGGGAATAGGATAGCGAAGTAAGCACAAGGAACTTAGTGCTGCTGAGCTGGTTAAAGCTAACATGGGGAAGATCCTGATGGTCCCCATTCCCAGGTCGGTCTGTAAATGGGACATCAGAGGGAGCAGGGGAAGACACAAAATATGGTGCCAGAAACTGACCAGGCAGTAGACTGTATGAGAGAAATTGCAAATACTTTAAAGGAAATTCAAAGTACTTGAAGAAAACACAGAGAAATCCTTCAATACTCTTAACAGAGCAACAATGAAGAAATGGAAGCAATTTTTAAAAATCAAACAGAAATTCTTAACTAAAAAAATACACTCAGTGAGATTTAAGACATGATACAAGAATCAAATCCAACAGAAAAATTAATGAGCTTGAAGGCAGATGATTAGAAAATATTCATTTGGAAGAGAAAAAAGAAAAATGAAGAAAGTTCACAGGAATTTTGAAACAGTACTAAAACAGCAAATATTTTTGTTACTAGGAGTTCAAGAATGACTTGGAAATGCTGATGAGGTGGAAAACTTCATTTAACTCAACCAAGGCTAACCCAAGATATCTTATAATTAAACTCTAGAAAGTGAAATATGAGGAGATTCTCAAGGCTACAGAAGAAAATAAACACCCCTATGTGTCTGTATTAATCTGACAGCAAATTTCTTAATAAAAATCCTTACAGGAAAGGAAAGAGTTGCATAAGGGTTTTACAGGACTAACTGGAGAAAAAAATTCTGTCAATTAAAAACAGTATTGAGGGCTGGGGATTTAGCTCAGTGGCTGAACACCTGCCTCACAAGAGCAAGGTACTGAATTTGATCCCCAGTACAGAAAAACAAACAAAAAACCAAAAAACACTGTATTGAAACCAGCAAAACTAACCTTGAGAAATGAAGGATAGATAGAGACATTCCCAACAAAAGTGGGAAAGTATATCTCCACTAGACCTATTCCTAAGAAATGCTGAAGGAAGTTTTTCACACCAAAAAAGATGATGGTGAGCAAGAAGAAAACATAGGAAGGTATAAAACTCACTAGCAATAGTATAAAACTTCAGTATGCTTTAATATTATATATTATGTTTACCACTCACACCTTTAACATGATGACTAAAACCAAAACAATTAAAATAACTACATTAATATGTTAAAAGACAAGAAATATAGAAAGATGTAAAGTGAGAAATCAAGAATTTTTAAAGTGAGGAGGAATAGACTGAAACTGTCTTGTTTTCTTTTTCTTCTTTCTTTCTTTTTTTTTTTTTTTTTTGTTATACATTTTAGTTATACAGTACAGTTACATTCATCATTGGGATCTTGTACCTCTACATGACAGGTGCTGGTTCTCATTTTTTCCCCTTGTCCCTGCCCTCCATTCACCCCCTTCTCCCCTCCCCTATTTACAAACACTTTATTTCCAGTTTTTCATTTTCTCATATTTTTTTCTTTTCCCTTACTCCCTTTCCCCTACCCTTCCCACTTCCCCTACACCTTTAGCCCTTTTCTTCCTATTTCACATTGTTAATTATCTCATTAGGATCTTGTATACCATTACAGTTTTTCACACCAGAGAAACTATTTGGTATTTATACATGAGTGATTTATTTATTTCACTTAGGAGCATATCCTCAATATGTATCCATTTTCCTATGAATGAATCTAATTTCTTATTTTTTATGGCTGAGTACTATTTCATTTTATAGAAAAACCACATCTTTATCCAGTCTCCAACTGATGGGCAAATGCACTGTTTCCAAGTTTTAGCTATTACAAACTGTGCTGCTATAAACATAGGTGCACATATATCACTGTGGTGTGATTATTTTAATTCTTTTGGAAAGATACCCAGCAGAAGGATGGCTGGGTCAAATGGAACCTTTAGTCCCAGCTCTTTGAGGTGTCTCCATATTGATTTCCATAGTGGTTGCACCAGTCTGCACTCCCACCAACAATGGAAAAGGGTTCCTTTCTCCCTACAACCCCGCCAATATTTGCTATTGGAAAACCCAAAGCTTGTACAAGAGGAAATTATAAAGATAAGAGCAGAAATCAATGCAATAGAAACTAAGAAAATGATACAAAAACTAAATTAATAGAAGAGTTGGTTTTTTTTTGAAAGAATAAATAAAATCGATAAACCCTTAGCTAACCTTATCAAAAAAAAAAAAAAAAGGAAAGAAAAGGCTCAGATCCATGCAATCAGGAATGAAAAAGGTGAAGTCACAACAGATCCAACAGAAATCCAGAGCACTGTCACTACCTAATTTGAGAACCTGTACTCTAATAAAATGGAAAACACAGAAGAAATGGACAAATTTCTAGATACTTATGAATTACCAAAGTTGAACAAAGAAGGTAAAAAAATTCTAAACACACCAATTACAATCAGTGAAATTGAAAATGTAATTAAAAGTTTACCAACAAAGAAAAGCCCAGGTCCTGATGGATTCACTGCTGAATTTTACAAGACATTTAGAGAAGAACTACTGCCACTACTCTTTACATTTTTCAGTGGTTTTCTTATTAGTATATTTTTTCAGGTTCTTTTTGTTTCTTTCTATCTTTATCCTCATGATCATGTTATTATTTCAAAATATCTTGCTACAGTGAAAAGATTTTTATAAACATCATAGTAACCACAAAACAATAATCTATGACAGATAAACCAAAAACAAAATAGCAAGAATCAAAATTTGTGAGACTAAATCACTTAATTATAAAAGAAGGCCAGAAGAGAGGGAGAAAGAAAGAAAAGAACTGCAACAAAACTAGAAAACACATTACAAAATGGCTTTAGTGAGGCCTTACCTATCAATAATTACCTTAAATTTTTGTGATTAAATCAGCCAATTAAAAGACACAGAGTGCTGTGTCTTTCACCTGCAATTTGGTATCAACCCCCACCCTCAGGAAGCACATTATTAAGAGGAC